CATGATGAATATAAGAGGTTCAAAACAAGAGAGGGAGCACCATAAAACAGGTGTCAGTTCGTGTTAGTTATGAGTTGATCATAGTTTCTTATGCATATAATTATGTGTTAAGCATGAAACAAACTAGTATAATTTTTTCTTCAAAAGGAGTAAAGTTATAGCTTTTGCTAATGCTGATCTCATTGGTGACTATAATGATAGAAGATCTAACAAGAAATAATAATTAAGCTTTCTCAAATTGCAAGATGAAAAATATAGAAATTATAACATTTCTTTAAAACCCATTGAAGCCACAACTTCAATAGTTGTAAGTATATTCCTATTTTTTGTTTTCATTCTTGTTCTTGTTAAAAATAGAGCAATTAGCTTTCTTTCAAGCTATTTGATATTTTTTGGTTTCTTAAGCAAACCTCTAGAGGTATATGTAGAATATGTAGTTGCTATTCATTTATATTAATTTTATATTTATAATATAAACACTTCATAACCATTTAATAGCTTTTTTTGGTTTGCTTAATTGGTGGTAGTGAATATACCTAGAATATTCTTGGATATTCTAGGATATTCTACCATCTAACAGTTGTTATTTATTTAGATTAATCTTATATTTATAATTTATAAACATGTTTATAATTTATAAACTTTCCTAATAACTTCCTAGTATATTCTAGTTTATTCTATCATCTAATTCAATAAGATTAATCTTGTGTTTATAAGTTACAAATATGTTTATAATTATATATGATCAATTAAATTAATAAATAGAAATAACACTACTATTAAGAAAATCAAGAGTTGCTGCATATAATGTGCAGCAAATTATTTATAAATTATAAACATGTTTATAATTATAAACTTTCTATTATTTAATAAATAGTACTAAAGTACTATTAAGCAAAACCAAACATTACTATAACAAATTATTTTACCTTGCACTACTGATTTTGATCAACCAGGCCATTATATTTTCTCCATGACGAGAGGAAGACTGTGGCGAGGTCTGAGCGTAAGTTTGAACACTGGGCAGTGGCGATACGATGGTGACAACCGAAACCGGAAGTGCTGGAGAATGGTGGCCAAGGCGATCTTGGCTTCCATGAGTACAAAGGACTGGCCGACGCACACCCGGGGGCCAAGCGAAAACGGCATGAATGCGTTCGGGTGCTTGGACGCCTTGGTGACACCATCCTTGAAACGCTCCGGATTGAACTCGTGGGCGTCCTCCCCCCAGAGCTCCTTGTCGTGGTGGATGGCGAGGATTGGAAAGGAGACCGCCGCTCCCTTTGGGACGAGGATATCTCCCAGTATGGTGTCCTCGAAGCACGATCGCATCATCACCCCCACCGGTGGATACAGGCGGAGAGTTTCGTGGAGGATCATGTTGATCTAGCCATGAGAAAGAAAGCTTGAGCTCGTGAAACTCGAAAGTAACGTAAAACCTTTACCAGCTTGAGCTTGCTGATTGAATCGGCTTCTGGAGTGGCACCTTCGCAGACTTCCTGGGCCTCGGCGCGAGCGCGCTCCTGCCATTCCGGGTGCAAAGCAAGCAGCATTATGGACCAGGTGAGCAGAATTGCCGTCGTCTCGTGGCCAGCAAAGTAGAAAGTCTTGCACTCCTCCATCACGGCCCGATCATCGAAAGAAGAGTTTCCACACTCGGCAAGCATCAACCCCAGCAAGTCATGACTCTGGCCACTCTGAGCTCGCCGCTCCTTGATCAGGCCAAGCAGCAGCGAGTCGAGGTCGCTGTAGAGCTTTCTCAATCGAAAGTTTGCTGGAAACGGAAGGAATCTACGGTCGATCAGAAAATCGTGTTATAGTACGTAAACGAAAGAGATTTGATCACCTTTTGCCTGGTATATAGTTGTATCGATTGACCTTGGAAAGCTCCTCTTGGATTGCTCTCAAGGTTTCGAAGGCCTTCTGGCCTTTGAGATAGCTGCTTCCGAATGCCGTGTGGGAGATAATGTCTGCGGTTAGCTTTGAGAATTCACTGCTCATTTCAATCTCGGGCTGCTCGCGGAGCGCTTCTTCCCACCTGTCTAGCATCTCGAGCGCGCACAGTCCGATACGGGGCACCATTTTCTGGTTTGTATGACCAAGTAATGAAAGTTGATAAGAAGCAAAGAAAGAAAAAATGGAACCTTGAGCTTCTCTAGGTAAAAAGCTGGAGCCACAACACGTCGATGGTAGCTCCACTCGTCACCTGTCACGGCAACGAGCCCTCGGCCAACTATGGAGACCAGTTCGGAAACCATTATGTCCGACTTCTCAAACTGAGTAACTTTCTTGGCAAGAACTTCTCTGATGAGCTCGGGCTCTGTGACCATGATCCTGGGCTCCGTCGCCCACCAGTAGCAATACCTCTTTCCTGCGAAGAAATCGTCCAGAGTACAGGAATTTACGAGGAGAAGTTACCATATTCCTTGGACCACTGGTGGTAATCCAGCAACACATGCTTCACAATGTCGTGATTCAAGCCTTCCATGTCCCGCTCCTTGCCAGTATCTCTCATCTTCATCACCTGGAGCATGTTGCCGGCCATGAAAGTCCTTGGTGGCCCCTCGATACCCTGGCTTCGAATCCTTGCGTCGAGCGATCTTGGCTCCAGCCAGAACCTGGTGACAATCGATCGCCATAGCTTCGCAACCAGTGCTAGCAACACGAGCAGCGCGCCCGTCCACACTGCCTTGCCAATGCCCTCCATGAAATGCCCCATTGGATCAGATAATAATAATAAAGACGTATTTTTCGTGGCCACCTGGATGATATCCAGTTCTGGAATTTTCCTAGAAACCTGGAAACTGTTTTCTAGAGAACTCCTTTGCTTAAGACAATCAATGGCGCCAAAATGGGACTTGGATCGTCAGGAAAATGAATAATTTGAATGTTTGAACATATATAATTATTTAAAAATAAATTTAGTTTCTGAGTTCTGTCGTTATCGCATCAGGGATTTAATGTAATGCTTGTCAAGATCTTTCAGCAAGCACTGAACACCTTTTACAATTGAAAAATCTTCTAAACTCTCAGTGGCAGTCAGTGACAGTCCGTGTGATTCTGAGCAAAGACTGTTGTGGTCTTCAATGCCATGCGCCAGCCCGTCAACTTTTTGTCCCTTTGTATATCCACGGGCTCCCCGAAAGCAAATTTCATAGACATGTTTCTTTCAATGGAAGAAGTCTTGCGGACGAGACAAAAGCGATCGGACCCAACACTTCTTTATGGTGGTATCTTTGCAGGCCCGTCATTGATCCAAAGATTAGGTGGATCATGGTTATAAATGCATCTAAAACTTGTTCCTCTTCGTGTTTGATCTCTCCGCGCTACACGAAAAGAATCGCCATCTCCATACATGGTCGGTTGAGTGATTGGATACCTTTTCGCAAAACCTGGCTTTGATTCCGGATCGTTTTTGTGATGCATGGGCCGTGTCTTGTTTTGGCAGGAGGAGCACGCTGTCGAGTTACACAAATCCAGTATGAATCTCGAGGCAGGAGCCGAGGGAGACCAGCGAGCCGAGGATCCCGAGTGGAGCACGACTTGGCGAGGCCGCCGAATCGTGAAAGGAGGCTGGAAGACGAGCCCTTTCATCTTTGGTATAACTCTCTCCCTCGAGCATTCTGCAAGGATCTAGAAGATCGTCATCTCGCTTTGCTGCTTGACTTGCAGGGAACGAGGCGACTGAGAAGCTGGGAGCCATTGGACTGCAAGTGAATCTGGTGACATACCTCGTCCAGCAGCTCCATTTCAAGCCGGCCGATGCGTCCAACACCCTCACCACTTTCGGCGGGACCGCAGCCTTCACACCCTTTGTCGGTGCCATCATCGCTGATGCGTATGTTGGTCGCTACTGGGTGGTGCTCTTGGGCTCTATCCTCTTCACACTGGTAAGAAACCATCCATCCCTCCATCTAGCCAAAAGTTTGGATAGATAGAGCCTTCTCCGGTAGATTCTACGAGGGGAATGATCGATAAGATATAATCATCGTAAGATCGAGGATAAGTCAAAGAAGAAGAGAAGAAAACCAGAGAAAGAACAAGAGAATCAGATACTAGAAGCCTAGAAAGGATCAATCTCAACTGTGGAGCACTGATTTGATTGGTGGCTTGGCAGGGATCCTTCGTTCTTACGATCCAAGCCCTGGTTCCCAGCCTGAGACCCGACCAATGCGCGGCGAAATCATCGCTGTGCGAGCGCTCGACAGTGGGTCAGCTGGGATTCCTGTACCTCTCCTTCGTTTTGCAGGCCGCGGGCTCGGGCGGGATCCGGCCATGCGTCGCTGCATTTGGGGCGGACCAATTCAACGAGGAGGATCCCAAGCAGCGCACCCAGATCCTCCACTTCTTCAACTGGTACTACTTCACACTCCAGCTCGCCACGCTCATCACCTCCACCGTGTTCGTGTGGATCCAAGACAACGTCGGCTGGGCCGTCGGATTCGGCCTCCCCGCCGTGCTCATGGCGCTGTCCGTCATCAGCTTC